TGCAAGTCTTTCCCCTCTCCAATTTAACTTTGTCTTGATTAAATATTAGACAGTGCTCTGCCTCTCACAAGCTCTTTCAGAAAAAAGGAGAAAAAACATTTATTCTTCATTATTCAATCAGAAAATTATGATGTTTGAGAAATTGCAAGGTTGTACCTAGAAGTAGAAATCCAAATTAAGGATTTCTTCCTTAGTCCACTTAGACCAACACTTCAGCATATGTATTGAGTCCTATAATGTATATCTAAATCCAGTGATTTAAAGGAAATTATTTTTTCTGGCAAGAGCTCACCTCTGAAAAAATAAGTATTCTTAATTGGAGATACTTTGAAGTGAAATCCAAGTGGAGATTAGGCAGGCTTTAGTTATTTCTATAAGCTAGAATTAGGGTCTGTGGGTTGTTGTCTTCACAATAACAATGACAAAATCAAATGTGGTATGGTATATTCATGTTTCCTGACTCCCATTTGATATAAATCTGCAGCCAGACGCTGTGCAACATGGAACAGTTGAAATCCACAGCCCAAACCCCTCTGATGCCCTTAGCTGACCACACAAGTTCCCTTACTGTGCTTTGCACCCAGGACCTGTGTGCTACTCCCTGACATTGAGAACAGACCCTGTCCCAAGCCTTTGCAGCCGACAGCAGGAAGTCTGCTTTGGCTCTGATAAAGTGAAGAGAAAAGAAAATCAGACCTGATTTTTTTGGCTGCAGATACGCTGAAAGAAATCAGTGAAAAATCCGAGGGCAACCTCAATCCACACTGTGGCTGTGGCCTGCAGCAGTCAGTACAATTGCTGTGGTGCGCCATGAATTCCCCCTGCTCTGCTTTCCTGCTGCACACTCGTGCTGCGGTGCATTTTCTGCCCCAACCCTGCTCACCCTGGGAAGGCCAACAAAACCATATTGGATCATCTCCAGGTGCTTCTGCTCGTTGATTGCCACTGGGCAATTCCACACTGCTAAGAAAGAACATCCCATGCAGTGATAGTCAAATCGAGTCAATAGTCAAAGCAAAGGCCAGCAGACAGCCTGAATATTTCTGCGTCATGGAGGACTCCCTAAAGGGCAAATTCTTCCATTTCTAAAAACAAGAATTCTTCTCTCCTTATTCTAGGTCACTTGTGGAACCACACAGATAGATAACAGATCTCAAAAATATGTCACTAATGATAAGGTCCAGAGCTTTCAGAACATGTTTCTGAAGGCAGGCATTTTATTTAGGTGTCTAAATAGAGGAGGCAATTTTCACCCGCTGTTTCCAAGACTGAATTCTAGAAGTGCTGGCCCTGCTATCACTAGTGTACTTGGCTACTGAAAAATCAAGCAGGCTGCTCTGGGTGTTGCAACAGGGAAAGGAAAAGTGCAGTGGTCGTTGTAAACACTGATTTGGGAGCAGCCACAGCACCCTGCATGCCACAAACATTGCTATTTTCTGACTGACTGTGACCACACAGGACTGAGTCACATAATTTGTAGCTGCCAGTGCAATGTAGGCAGCTCACAGGCTGGGAACAGCAGCCTGGATTTTATCCCAAAACACGCTTCCCTGCTCCCTACTCCATGGAAATTTTTGTTGCAGCTGAACAGCTTGCAAATAACAAAGTCTAAGCAAGCGCAGGCAAAGGATGATTTTGCAAAATGTAGAATCGATCCTTGGCTGCACAGTGGATTCTGGAGCTTGGCACCTGATGGTGCTTCCACACAATCTCCTCTGTGGTTCAGCCATCCCCAGGGGAAAATGCAACAGTCACTATTCCAGATGGTAAAATAATTACTATTGGCTGCAGAAATTAAATGCCGCTGAGCCATAATCAAAATATTGTTTTGTTTTCAAAGAACACTTCAGCTCGAAGGCCACTGAGTCCATCTCTGACTGTGCTGTGTCTCGACACACAGGAGGAAAAATACACAGCCTTGTTTCCACATTTCTCTGTTCTCACCTGAATGACTGGATCAAGGTTAAACAACCGCAGACAGAAGGAAAAAGATCACTGAACAGGAGTGGAAATGTGAAATACGTCAAATGGCATTCTTTTTTTTTTTCTTGTTGTCAGAAGTGCTCAGGGGTTGTGGCCAACCAGGCAAGAACAGGCAGGCTGTCTGCAGAACGGGACATTTGTGACGGTGAAGTCCTACTGGGGTTTTTTTGGGACAGTTACATATAAGACACCAAAGGAATGGCCCAGAACTACGATCCCCACCTACAATGTTTCTTTTCCTTTACACTTACGGTAACAATGTTTGGGCAACAGTTTGCTTTTTTCAGTTCCCACCTACGATTCATTGTGAAACTTGGTAAGATTGGCCATGTTACAATGTACTCCATGAGTATGTGGATAAAGACATTTTTCTTCAACGCTTCTTTGCTGTATTCATGAACCTGTCCATTGTTTGCGTCATTCCTTTGGGGGTAGAACATAGGTGGCATTGCTCTGGCAGAAACCTTCTGCTATGCCTCTCATGTTTGTTACTGCATGTATGAAACAGATGGTTTCTGAAATAATTAGGCTGAAATCAAAGTTTCTACCCTAACTCTGAGCATGGGTGCAAAGGAAAGAACTTAATTTGGCTGTACTACAGGACAGCTTTCCAAAGTGTACAGTGAGTGCTGCTATTTTTTAATTTTTCTTTTACTTCATAAGCATAAAATTCTTATTTCAGGTTGCCTAGGCCTCTGATTCATATAAATGTAAATTTAAATTAACTTCACATTCACTGATGTTGTTGCTTTTATTTATTCAATTCAGAACTTCATGGAATATCTGAGTCCTAGTCTGCTTAGTGAAACTTGACTTTCTACAGTGGCAACCAAGTGAAAACCTCTCTTATGCTATTCCCACTTGGAGAAAAAAATACCTAAGGAAACACCCTCTGACAAAGTCTTCAATAATAAAACATTTCCAGTAGACAGACAATATAATTTTAAAGGCAACCTTGAATGAGAACCTTTAACATCTGATAATCTTTTCAGTACCTGTGGATTACCTGCTGCTGGAAAATTCTCATGTGGCTGAACACTGCTTTGGCAGATGAGTTTGTCTTTGCCTGTAATTAAGACCAAATCTTCAAAACACATGTCTGTATTACCCTCAGAAATCCAAATCCGTGAGCAAATCGATGTTAGAATAGAAATTTACTATGGGATTGCAAAATGTACGGCAAAACAGTAGAAATGACAAAAAAAAATCAGCCTGTATTTTTATATTTCACATCATTAAAACAAAGGTATCTTCCAATCCCTTATTATACTGCCTTTTTCTTTTTAGAACACTGCCTTATTGTCATCCACAGGCTTAATGTTCTTGTGGGTAGTTACAGCTTTGGTCATCTCTTACTCATCATCTGGGTAGTGATGTACCATTACCAGGCTACATTTCTGAGACAAAGACATGGCCTGGCCATCCATAAAATGTTAGTGAATGTCCCCAGGGTCCCTTTTGCCACAAAGCAGCACAAGTTTTCACACTGATATGTGCTGGCAGGGAACAGACTGACGCCCACACGTGCCCGGGTGCGAGCCCAGTGACCACAGAGCCCAGAGGGATTTCTGGAGGTGCAGATTTTGACACTTGTAGACAGAGAGCTCCTGGCTGGTCTCAGGTCTCCTCCCACCGAGGAAAGAGGGCACCAGTGTGAAAGGAACTTTTAGCACCCTGGTAGGAACTACAGTGCTCGTGTTGCTGTAGCTTTTGTGACCTATGGGTGTGAGTGAATCCAGGTTAGTAAAGGGAAGCTTTCATTTCTGCCCCTAAGAGATGGTTGCTTACTGGTTGACAGCTCATAGACTTAAAATACTCCAAAAACATGAAAAATGTATATATTCTTTTCTCTTTGTGATATATTCAGCTTGAAATTCAGTTATGGACAGGGGATTTCATTTTTCTCCACATGAATGTGACTACCCTTAGAATGCTAGGAAGAATATCTATTGCACACTAGAAGAACAGTAAATTCCCCCAAACAAAGCACACTAGTTTAATGATGTAAAATGATTTCTAAATAAATCATAAACAAGTCATGTCTACCATCTTAGCAGTAGGTGTAGTTGTTAAGTATATGAAAAGTAGCTCTAATAAAGGTGTGTTGATTGTGAAAATTTGGATAATCTTAGAATAATAGAACTGTTTTTGTTGGAAGGCACCTTAAAGCTCTTCTAGTTACAACACTCCTGCCATGGGCAGGAAACCTGCCACTAGACCACATTGCTCAGAGCCACATCCAGCCTGGTCTTGGAACACCTCCAAGGATAGGGAGAGCACAACTTTTCCAGGCAACCTGTTTCCTGCCTCACCAATTATAAGAATTTCTTCCTAAATCTAATCTAAACCTACCCTCATTCAGCTTGAAGCCATTCTCCCTTGTCCTATGCACTTGAGAAAAGTCCCTCTTCAGACCCACTTCCTCCCTCTACCTTTACACACCAGAAGGTGCTATAAGGTTTCCCTGGAGCCTTCCTTCTCCAAGCTGAACAACCAAAGTCTCTCAGCCTGTCTTCACAGGAGAGGTGTTCCAGCCCTGTGATCAACTCAGTGGCTCTCCTCTGGACTTGTTCCAGAGGCAGTTTGGTTGGCAGTGCTAGGAGAGCCTATCTGGGGAAACTGTCAGCACGTGGAGTTTATGTGCAGCTGCAGATCTCAGAACAGCACTGCTGCCGCTGTGCCTGTGCCAGCACGGGAAGTGTGCCCTGTCAGCAGCACTGCTTCTGGCCACACTCAGCACTGATCCCTCTTCATACTGCCCCCTCCCACCACCTTCACGAGTATTAATTAAAAGTGATTCATAAAAAGCTTTCACCAGGCAGCAGCTGGTTTCTAGTCCAGACAGCCCAGGAGCTCGGCCATCCGACCTCGTGTGGCCTTCCTGCAATTCACAGCAAGTATGTCAGTGCTGCCATAAATATCACACCTCCTGTGACAGGGCTTCATGGCAGCCTCCACTAACTTTTGTCACCCTCTTAGTCACCCTTCCTCCTGGAGTCACCAGGCACTGCACTGACCTGCAGGAGCTGGGGCTGGCAGCCAAGCAGGGGGGGGCTCAGGAGGAGGCTTGTGCCACTTCTCTGCTCCATTGCTCTCACCTGGGTAGCAAAGCTTGCTTACTTCACAATCTTCCTTGCAAAAATTTTGAAAAAAGCCTGTTAGGGAAATGGAAAATTTTAAAAGGTATTTCACTATTCTTTATTCACTACTGCACTTACATTTTTTTATTTTAATCCAGTGCAATTTATTGTGAGCTCAGGAACTTTCATTACCCTCATGAACCAGTCCCCCAAATGCACCCAGTCCTGCCAGTCCACCAAACACTGCTGGGTCTCCAGAGTGCTCCTGCAGCTGAGGCACAGCTCAACTGCCACCAAAGTGCAATCATTTGATAATAGAAAAGCAGGCATACAAACAAGGTACATTTTCAGCCAGATTACAAAACACTCATGCTGCTCACCATATAGAACTGGAAGCAGACTTCAGACCGGACCAGACTTTTGGTCTGATTTGATCAAGAGGGACAGGAATTTTGGTGTAGGTAGGGGAATCACTGTCCTTTAAAGCCCCAAGGAAGACAATGTACCACCAGATCCAGGCATCAGTCCCGCTTGCCCAGCCTTACAGAGGCTGCTGAAACAGCCACAGCCTTTGCCCAAGTGAAGGGAACTGCAAGGTCAGATCCAGCTTGAGGGGACTGAACACCAGCCCCAGCACCCAGCTGGGGTAGCTCTGGCAGCCTGTGTCACCAGGCACTACTGCTGCATCCAAAGGAATGCGTGACAGGCAGAGCTGTCCCCCAGGTCTGATGTTTTCTTTTCATCCCTTTGCTGTAATTTAACTAGAGATGATGTTACCAGTGTACCTAGTTGTGCTCAACCTCACAGATGTCTTCACCTGATGATACTGAGGTTCTACAGCTTGTGTGTCACATAAAAAAAGCACTGTCTCACACTGGCTTTATGTTTTATTATATATAGACTTTTACTTACTTTAATTTTCTATAGTCTGAAATATGCTTCAAATACTTCATGAAAGAAGCAAAAATAACCTTCTAATTTACTAACAAAGTCATCTCCCAGAATGAATCAGTAAAACCTCCAAGCCATTTTCAAGTAAAATGATACCACATTGCCAGAATGACAAGCACAGAATTGCCTCACAGATGATAAACCAGAACTAAATTTGAGAAACCTCATGTAGACTTTCTACTGTGAATCATCTTCTTTTTTATTAATTTTATCTGGAGGTTTGAGATAGGGTGATTCATCCCATTCTGAAATTGTTTTCTGTTTCAATACAATACAACTTTGTTTTCTGCAATGTCTTTTGAGCAATATTGTGAGAGAAAAATAAGAATTAAATCAGTCCCAGCAAAAGAGAAAAACAAGTCTGGGGAACAGAAGAAGGCATTTTCCGTCTGAGATTTAGGAAGGAGTGGAGAGCAAGGAGGCAGAGTTTTTAAAAAAAGCCTCTCTCAAGGCAAACAAAATTAATCTGTTTAAAACAAAACCAAGGTTTCAGAAGGCAGAGAGAGAAATGGTCAGTATTAGGTGAAAAAGAGAAAACTGGGAGATAAGGGCTTTACAAACAGCGGGACCCTGGGACCTGTTCCTGCGCCATCAGGGGAGCACAGAGCTTGTGATGTGGATGGGCCATAGCAAGAAAGGATAAATAAGGTCTGGGAGAACATCTCTTGCCCAAAATGAGGATGTCTGGCTTTGAGATTTCTAGCAAGAAAGCTGAAACAAACCCACAAGTTTTCTTGCTCAGACAGCCTGAGTGAGTGTGGGTAGCCACTAGCTGTGACTAATGCCACAGAGGTTCTTACCAGCGCCAACACCAATGCAGGTCCTGCATCTTGCAGCAGGACATACATGGTTGGCACTGAAGGCACTCACTCAGGTACCTCTTACCTGTAAATTTAGGAGGAAAATATTGCCTGTACAGTTAATTCTCAGAGCCTTGGGTAAACGAATGTGTTTGGTGAGGTCATCCCAGGAAAACTGTTTGCTGGCCTTTAGTGTAAAGAACTGTCTTTAGCTCCTGGCTGCCCTCACAGGCAGTTTTGCAGCATATAAACAACAACAACATTGGTGAGGAACAAGGCACTAATCAGGTCAAGGTTTCAGGTTATTTGCTTCCCTCCTAGGTAATGGTCTATCAAAATATAAACTACCCCACCCTAGTTTCAAAACATCAACATGCAGCCACTAAGGTGGGGTTACCCAAGGGCATCCCCTCCCTACTGTTTTCTTAACAAAACATTGTTCTTGATCTTTATTCAAGCAAGAGTAGTGGGGCACACAAACAGTGTCTCCTACACCCACCTCAAAGAAAATCTTGATTGCTGGCCACATAAAGCATCAAATATTTTTGCGTAAGACACAAAAAAGGGCATTTCAGAACCACTGACATGCAGGATGGTGGATGCAGCCACTGAAATAGTCTTGCTGCTGCCTTTCCTGTGCAGAAATACTCAAGCCTCTCTCCTGGCTTACCTGGAGGGTTTGGGTGACACCTGGCCTGGTGTGGATCCCCCTGAGGGAAGCTCTGTCATGCACCTTGAAGCTCTCAGGGGTCAGGGATTAAAGGCAGCTTTCTTGTGTGCCAGCTCTTTTCATTTTTAAGAGGCAACTCAGTTTTATCCTGCATTGCTGTACACTCTATAAAGCAGCAAAGGAACAAAAAGGAAGACATGTATTTATTTTTTACTTAGATTTCTAAAGTAATTAAAGTGCTTTGACATAGACAAGGCTGCTTGGCATGGAAGCGTTATCCAAAAGGAAACACGCTCATTCTCTTGTGCAAGCGAAGTTAGAGAGTGCAACCTCCTGGTGATTTCTCTTAGCTCCTAAGTAAATCCGTTGCCTTCCCCTGAGCCTCACATCTCCCTAAATCTCAGCCTTGGCAAGGAAGGACTACACATGTATTTTGTAAAACCTTTTGTAGAAAGACTGGATGGGTTCTGAATTGAAAGCCCTCAAGGCATTTAATAATTTAGAAATAATATGACAGTTTGTCTTTTGAGTTACTTCCTACCGTATCCTCTTGATGAAATGAAGGCTGTACGCCTTCACAATTTTCCATTTAGACAGAATTCCACCAGTTTAATCAAAGTGAAACATTAGGTACTGTTATGGTCCTTATACCTTCAGATTTCCTTACTGATAACCCACATACTATCCGTTAACCCATTGCATCATTCACAAGAATAAACAACCTGGGCTCTGCATACAGGAAGCAGAACGAAAAGGAAATAGACAATATTAGTTTTCATGTACATATTTTCACTTCTGCAGAGATCAGACTGGCATGTTTTCACAGATCAAGGTGGTCCTTCAGATGTGCCTGTTAAGTTCCCTATGGATACAAAAAAGCATTTGCTATTTTTAAAGTTTGAGACTTTTTCATTTAAACCACCGTTACCTCCTTACTAAACGATGGAAGTGATGGTCCATAAGGGCAGCAAAAGTCAGATTTACTTCCCACTCACTGCTACCACCTATGCTGCAATATTCAGGTGCTTGTGTAATGCCAAAGATCAGCATCTCATGTGTTCAAACAATGGGAGGGGCAATGGACAATATACCCATTTACCTGGGGACGCATACTACAAAATCCAGATTTTTCTACTTAATAAGGTAAGGAAGTCTTTCCTAAATTTCAGTAAAAGGAAGGTGTTTAATAGTCTGCTCTGCAGAGGTGGAAGCCCTTCCAGACTCTTAGCTTAGCTCCTCACCTCAGGCACAGAACCACATACCCTCCTCTTTTGAGGTAAGTCGATGGGAGAAAGACTCAGTGAACTCCTTCCCAATGGAAGATGCAAACGATTATTTATGAGCAACAAATTAACAATGAGAAATCGTGGACTTTGTCCCTGCCAGGAAAGAATGAATGTGACTTAGTGTAACCAGAGGATCCATAATCAAACCACTTTTATCACTGTGGGTGTCCCAATTCCATCGAGGATGGAGTTCCCTTTCTTCACAGCAGTGCCATTGGGGCTGTTTGTGACTAAACATTTAATGTGACTAATCCATTTGTGGATTTGTGACTAAAATACACTCACAAACACACCAGTGCTTTGCCTGTGGCTGAACAATTCTTGCACAGCACCAAGGCTCTCTCCAGAAGGCAATTTGTAGCACACTTAATTTTGGTCATAGTGTTAAAGACTGATTTTTCAGTCTTTCCAATAAACCTTTAGTGGGCTTGAATCACATTATTTGGTGCCTAAGTTATTTCAGGGGCTGTTTATGAAATGTGTCACTGATTTTTGATGAAATTATTGCAACAAAAGACTGTAACTGATAGGTTTGTTCTGAAATTCTTTCAAAGATGACCTTTCCATGAATCAATACAGGCAGAAGATTATCGCTTGGGGCATTTGGGGTATTTTGGTGGATGTAGGAGAATTCCTCAAAATGTAGTTGACAACAGGCTAAACAGTGAGCCAGTGCAGCTGCTGGGAAGATCAGGAATAGAAGTGCTGTCCCTGGGGGTGTCTGTAGGCTGAGCACTGCTCCATACCACATCCAACCCCAGACTGTGCTGGGCAGGACCTGCCTTCCCAAGGCCCTCTGTGTGCATGCACTTATTCGACCTTAACTCCATAGAACTCATTAGCTTTTCTCCTGAGAAAGCTCAAGAAGATCTCATGTTCCCAAAAGTGAAGGTCCTCTGTGCAGCAGATATTTTTTCCTCTGCTTTCCGTGCTGCCTCAGGAAATAGGCACTTGTACTTTGAACACCTCCCCCTTTTCTGATGAACCAGTTTTCCTTAGCTCTAAGATATTTGTCACTCTCATGATGCTAAGTGGAAACACTGTCCTCTGCAAACAAAGCCACAACACAGAGACAATGGAATATTTTCTCTCCATAGCACTGGACAGGAGATATTTTTTGAAGCTGCTTCTGCATTGTTTTTTCACTGTAGCTCTGATGTAAGTCAGCTACAAAGAGAGAAGAGGTGGCAAGAAAGTGAAGCAGCTGAACTCACAGCTGTAGGGAGTTTTCACCTTCTGTCTCTCAGCAGAATATCTGTATTATTATTTTCTGGGGATAAGTGTACTTAGAGCTGCTGACACTATTCACAAGTCCACTAGAGAGCAGCTATGCCTCACATTCAGTGAGATTCTGTTTTAATTCATTTCTCTGACATTTATTGCACTTCACTCAAATGACTAATCAGCCCTGGAAAGCTTTCTCAGTCCTAGACTGAGAGGCAACGGAGGTGTGGACTCAGCTGCTCTGATTCATACGGGTATGTGAATGCTCACTCCTAGCACTGAGCTGCTCCCCTTCGTGCACAGTGTCATTCTTGAAGAAATCTTAGCTCATAGGAGAAAAAAAGTGTATCAACACCCTGGAGGTGCAAGTTCCCTTGAATCCCTTCAGTAAGAAATATATAGATTTCTTGGAAGAAGGCCAGGGCAAGAGGCAGCCAAAGAGACTGTCATTCCAGGAAATGGATAAAATTGGAATATAGAAACAGTTAAATATGGCTCTTTACCCCATTTTCACTAGGTGCAGGAAAGTGCTGTGTAGGTCTAAGGAACTAATAAGGCACAGCAGTCCACAGCAACCCATATTAGGCCATTTTCCACTAACTTACGGAAGATCTTATGTAACACTGAAGAATGATTTACACTAATGAGAAAACAATGTATTATATGAAATACAATTTTATACAGAGAAGACAATTTCATGTACAAAATACTGGTTTCTCCAAACCATCTTCTCAGCCTTAATAAAAACACTGAAGTTTTCTTTCTTTAAACATCAAGGAGCAGCATAAAGAGTTTGAATTCCAAAAGTTTCACTACTTCTCTTTTTATCAGAGGAAAAGTAAATTATTGCCTATGCAAACATCTGGCAAATCCACATCCCCTAGCCTGGTAAGTTAATGAAAGTAGTCCTAGCCCTGTTAGAAGCAGACAGAAATTATTAAGGCAGAAGTTCTTTTACCTTTAACCTACATTATCCCTGTCCCTTATGAACTGCCTTGAAGTGCCTGGGTATTTCTACCTTACCTACTGGCTTCCTTTCCTCTCCTTTTTTATATCACTTCACCCTCCTGCATCAGGTAGGAAGGACAAGAACCAACTTCAAGCTTTTTATGCTAAAGGTCTGGTTTTACTTGTGTCCTTCTTCTTTGTCCTCCATTTTCTGGAATACTGGTTACTCACTGTATATAACCCAGGCACTATTTTGTTCCCTGTGAAGAAACAAAAATTTTTCAGAGCATGTATACTGAATCATAAAGATCAAAGAAAGCACAGAGAATGACTATTAGTGTTAGACTGATCACCTAAACAAGGGAGAGCATCTGATTTTTTAAATTTGACAGAAACCATATGAAGTGGCATAAAACACACTGCAACTATTGAGATGATCAAGAAAAAAAAAATCTCACTGCAGGTTGGAGATTCTGCTTTAAACAATGAAGAAAAGTTTCTTTCTCAGCTTTTAAAACTATTTCAAATAAAACTTCATAACTAAATATAATTAATGGAAAATTGAAATGATCATATGAAAGTGACAGCACGGAACATTTTCATATTTCTAGATATTTATTAGATTTGACATGAATTGGTCAAACTTAATAAAATCAATCAGGATTTGATGAACAGAGCTGAGAGGGTAAGTTTGTGCACTCAACTAGGTCTAGCAATAAAAGAGAAAACAATGCAGCTCAGACAATGAGTAAGGAGAGCTTCCATGGCACATGATTCTATCAGAGGGTAGAACTGTTTCATCTCTGCTCAATTTAAAGGCAATTTAAAGTGAACGGTGACACTTGTCTCAGCGTGGCCAAATCAATCGTGGAGAGGGCAATGGCAAGGAAAAGAGACAAGAAAAAATCTACAGGGTGTGCTGGTTCTCTGCCATACTCTGCATTTCCCACAGCACCTTTGAAATCAATGTTCTTTAACCTTTCCCTGCAGATCCGCCACAGTGTTTGAAAGCGCATCAGCCTCCTTTGATCTCCTGGGCATTGTTTTGGAAATTACATCTTTGTCTCCTTTCTTCTTCAGGCTGTTTCTGAGGTTCTCATGAGTTTTCCTGTTCTCAAGTTTAATGTTTCCACTTTACTTTTTTGCCATTTGTGCAGCAGTATCAAGTATTTTGCAGCCTTGGGAGTGCCATCAGCACCTCTTCTGACTTTTCAGCTGTGCCCTCAACATAGGGGTTCAAACCTGCAGAAGGGAAGATTTAAGAGATGCAACTATCCTGGGAGGCTTAGCTATCAAGTAGAAGAGGCATTGACAGGGGTTTTCCACGGGTTGAATAACAAATTAGTTGTGTAATCCTTATGATAATCAGAAAAGGAGGATCCAGGAGTGGAAATGGGAATATGGGAAGGAATGGTGAATCCTATGATATTGCTTCTGGGTAAAATCCGGGTGCTTCAAATGAAACTTATTCTTTGGTTATCTGCCTATCTGCATATCTTGCAGTGATAATGGGAAAAATGTGATTTTCAAAAGCTGCCATTGATCTTCAGTGCTCCTTTTTGCCTTTTGGTTTCCCACGAGTTTATTTCAGAGAAACAGCACTGTCCTGCTCAAGGAACTGAACGGGTATCAATTGTAAAGTCTGCAAGAAGCTCATAAGTAACAGGCAAGAAAAACATCCTTGTCCAGAAGAGTATTTTTAGAGATCAATTTTACTATTTTCTTGTATATTCATCTACAGATGCAGTCATTATATTTACTGTCTCAGGTTTCTGAAAAGAAAACACAAGCAGGACAAGAAACCTAAATTTTCCAGTCAGAGGTACAGTGTTAACGTAGCACTTTAGATTTATTTTTTTTTTCCTTGAAAAGGAACAGATCTCCTGGAGGGACCAATGAGATAGTAACAAGGAAATAAAATCTATGGTCCTCTATTGATGATTTGATATAGAAATTACTGAAAATTATTAAGATGAATCTTGCAGTTATCCCTCTGAAATAGATAAGTGGGTGATCACACTTTCAATCTTTATTCACACAGAAGTCTTTGACTAATGCTTTCAGACAGATTTTGGTACTCCCACAAACACACTGAGTAGTTCTTTTCACACAAATAGTGATTTCATTTACATTTCAGCAAGAAATCTTGTTTTATTAACTTGAATATTATTTTCTCCTCCTTCTTCTTTGTTTTCTATCCAGAAGCCTTTGTTCATTTTTAATAATTCCCATAGGTTCACTTAGAGGGAACAGTGTACATGCTTCTGGGAACTTGCCTGGCAGAGGCAAAACTGTTGTTGATGAAAACTCAAAGTTTTTGGGCAGTCACTGAAGTCACTGCTGCCAACAGTGAAGGGAATGGGATCTGCCAGTATTAGAGGTTCAGGTGTCCTGTATTGCTCGAGCTCAGCTTTCTGGAGAGTTACAGGATGGGAGGCACTCACCAGAGCACAAGGGAGGAGAGTAAGGGAAGAAATAAAGGCTCATAGAGGTGGGTTCATGGCTCTCCTAGCTCCAGTTAAGTGATGATTCTGTGAACCTGAGAGTCAATTCCCTGAATGTTGAGTGATGTTTGTTCCACTGAGTGTGGAACTCAACTACAGAAGGAAGAGCACACAACTGATCAACTGTTCAATTATGTTTTGCCATGATTGCTACTGCTTCTGCTGCAGCTTCCTCTCTGTACTACTTTTGGATTCTTTAGTCTTGGATTTTATAAATTTATTTATTTATTTATTTAGACAACCTTTTCAGACTACAGATAGTGCTGGTTACCTTAAATGGTACCAGTACCATAGTTTATTCTAGATTATCTTACTTAGCTATTTGGGGTCTTTTAAATCAAATTCTCAGGTGGAAGATTTTTATTTTATAATGCCTCTGTCATTTCCCACAGTTACTTACTCTATTTGTCTCCACACTTGAGAAAATGCTTTCCTCTCACATCTGGCTCTCTGTATTTAATTTAAAATTTCCTTCCTGGACCTTAATCATAACCAAGAATATCTTGATTTGTCTCGCTTTTTGAGGTCAAAACATGCTTACAGTGCATCTTAAAACATTTCCATTATTGTTTCCACTGAATGCAAGGAAAATATGTTGACTTCATTAAAAAAAAAAAAAAAAGAATAAAATTGAGCCAGAGATGATTTTCATAAATTAGATGTACAGATTTCACAGCTCAGAAACAAGGATGTCGAATGTGTCCAGCCTATACAGCCTCCTACACAGAAACCACAAGGTTTCAACGACAAGTCAGTGAAACCACAGCATTCAGCTTTTTATCCAAGACAAGCTCTACCCAACGGGTGCTGATGCCTTGGTGTGCTGACTGATCACACAGTAGTTTTTCCAAGGTTCGCTTAAGGTGCTGACCTGTGAAGAGAAATGAAACTCATCATGCAAACAACTGTGCTATATAGCTTCTCAAATCTGTATGTGTGTGCACATAACAGATAAATCTGCAGGCACAGGCACAGACATCCCTGCTAAAGGTACATCTACTTACAGATGAAGGCGAAGACATCTGGAAAAAAAGGTCATGAAGAAAAACTGTTTTTACAAAGTTACTAGCTTATCTGTTAAGGATAGCACAAGCTAGTCACCTCAGCATTCTTCAACCTCCTGTAAACAATTAAACAGCAAATCTATATATGAAGTTAAAAGTCATGACTAAGTGCATTTCATTACCAGAGCAATTAATGTATGAGAAACAGAACAGTATTCCCATTTAAGATAATTCTAGACCAGTATAGCTGCTCCTCCATCAGGGCTTTTATTGATATAACTGCCTGCAAAGTAACAACAAATCATGAATAATACCATCATACCTTCAAGAGTCTTAAATGTAGACAAGGGTACACAGTTAAGATTCTCCTAAACATCCTTCCATAAAATGATGGAATCACTGCCAGAATCTTGAAATGCTGTCTGCACTGGCACCAAATTGCTCTTCCTGGAACAATGCTGCTGAGTGGGAGCCACTGGACCCCTCAGCCTGGCATGCCAAGGAGGCACTCGTTACATAGGAGATCACAGTTGTGTTCTACAGTAAAGTCAGCAGAAGGGGAGTTTTGGAATTCTGGCAACTCATTTCTATTTGCAAATTTGTCAGGTGTGCTAAGGAGAAAATAGGGTTGACAGTGAAATGATTGCAATCAAAACAAAGCTGAACAAACAAGCTTTCAAGGCCTTTGCAACAGGGATTTCACCATAATGACCCAAGGCCCTGTAACTGAGGCTCCTCAGATTGTGACAAACTGTGACACAGAGTAGCAGTGACCTGAGGTAGAAATTTCTTTAAATGGTTTTGCCGCTGAAGATAGCACCTGCATTCCTACATCCTGAGAACTGCAGAGGTGGCTTCTGCCTCAGCCTTCCCTTCAGCTATGCAGTGTGATGCCAAAGCCTCTCTCTCCTCTGCTTCAGGAGCTGAAGTACAGCACATCTGGTGGCTGATCCACTGGTCTACAGAACACACAGTGGCAGTGCTCAGGACAAGCTGAGGAGTTGGTGTGCAAGCAAGGACTTGGAGTCACTCCAAAGGGAGGCAGACGGCATCCTCCGGTGCAGTGTCACACTGCTCCTCTGTCCTCACTACTTTTTGCTGTGCCAGAGGTGCCCCAGAACCATGAGATGTGACACTGTCCCTGGGAAGACACAAAACAAAAGGGAGGAAAACAATGTGACTGAGTTAGCAAGATTTGGAATCAACACTATTATTAAAAATAATGCTATTAGAAACTGAGTATAAACAGCAAACACATATACATAGATAAAGGAGGCTAAAATCTGTAATATTTTGGTAGTACCTGAAAATCAAAAAGCAGAACTAGTCAGAAATAACTGGTATTCAGTCATCTGCTTTTACCAATAATAACCATAATAAAAAGGAGAAAATTGCATTTTATGTTGAAGATAACTTTATGTAGAAAGTATTAATAAGGCCAAATCAGAGTAGATCTGATGGAGGAGGGAAAAGGGCCCAAAGCCCCTCAGTTACCATGCCCTGTGTTTAGCTTTAGACTGTGTAAGAGGGGAACAACTGCTCTGCTGTGGAGATCCCACACCAGCCCAGCAGCCTCACCAAACCCTGGGAGTAACTTCCAAAAGAACCTGTAACATCAAACCTTTAATTCTGTTATCAAAACTCAAACTGTAGTGTCATGCTGATCACTGTGCAAGGCATGTCAGGGTACAGGGTACAGTCCCAGCTGCCAGTGGAGCAGTAACCTGTGTACCAGACTGTGCACCAGACACATCCATCTTGAGCCTGCAATGGTTTGGAGGTTACTTGTCTTATGCTACTGATACTGTAACACAGAAGTGACTCTCTTCCGACTTTTGCTCCTTCTGTTCATTAACAATAGCAAATGAACAAAGGAAGCACTTTTCATTGTGCCATTCTGCATCCTCCATTCCCTGTCCAACACCTCTGTGTCTCTCTTCTGATTTTTCTTTCTCAATATTTGGGATGAACATGACACACACTGTTGGGTTTCAGCACTACCACATCCCTGCTTTTTACACTGTAGGCCTGTCTCTTAGTGGAATCTCTGGGAAATGTGTTGGGAATGCTGGGAAACAGACAACAGTCCTGTGGCAGAAAGGCTGTGCTCTGTGGGCCATCCTTCAAGGAGACCTGCAGACCTGCCATGCATCAAACCCCTGAGCAGCAGAAGTCCTGGCTGCCACACAGAGCAGGAGCAATGACTTGCCCCAGCCTCACCCCACTTGTGGCTTTCAGCTGAACAACTCCTTTCTGCCCTCAAATTTTTAAGAGAACTGTGGTAGCCAAACATCCTGTCAGCTGCTGCCTTGTCTTCTGAACGTGGCTGTCCTCTGGTAGTGGGGAAAGGTTACGAGCACTACTGTAAAGAAGAATGAAGCTCTCTATGAAAGCTGGAACACAGCTCAGGCACAACTCTAAGCTCTTACAGAGATCAAAATGTTCAGGCCTTATTCAGGAGTTTTTAGCTGAGATGTGAAAGGAACTGCATGATATGGCTGACTGTGGTGGCAGAAGATCCCAATTGGTCACCCAGTGAGGTTTCTTCCATCCTACATGAAGAGAAAGTTGTGACCAAGGAGGTGGGAGGCTGCTCCCAGCTCTGAAGGAGACTTAAAAGGATGTGCCCACAAGAGGACACTTCTGAATATCTGGCTCTGTGCAGGACTGGTCTAAGCTTGTCTCAGGCTCTAGGTGTTGACAGGATGTTTCCTCAGTACAGTTTGTTATCAGTAGTTGGTAAGGACACAAATACATCAAACTGTGCTTGACATAAAACACTACTGCTTGACCTAGGAGCAGGATGGGAAAGAAGCTGGCTACAAGTTAGCCCTGGAGAAACATTACAGAGAATGTAAATGGTTTTATATTGTTGCCTATTAATGTTCCAATGTCTGTGTCTCCACATTCAGAGTTATATTTAATCTGATTTTTATGGCAAATACAAGTCAGGAATAGATTTTTTTCCTAGGTTAGGTTTTCTCTTTACAAAGCAAAGCTAAAAGACCAAAGAATTATACCAAAGCTTGTAATAAGAAAATAAGATTGCAAGGACATAGAACTGACTTGCAAAGCTAGCTGTCAGAAATATTTTGAAGACTAGTTTTTCTAAATCTGTTTTACAGGAATCTTCTTCCTAGTCTCCTATTTTCCAGCATAACTCTCTCCCTTTGTCTCCTACAATCCTCCCAAGTCACAGATAGTACATACATGAAATTTCACAAACCTAAGCTATAAAAATTCTTTGAAAGCATCCCCGTATATTTCAGACTTTTTTGGCTGAACCATAGCAATGACTAAGCCATGGGAAAAGCCTCCATTCAGCTCTCCTGTAAAGGAAAATGTGGGTGGGGGAACCGGGCTTTCGGGGTCGAAGTCATGCAGCTCTTGGGTGGCACCGTCGCGACGAGGAAAGAGGAAGACTTGGCCCGGCAGGGCTGGCCCGGGAGGTTTCTCACATTTCCACTTTCCAGCCATCCCTGTGGGGCCGGGCCGGTGACAGTGTGCGAGAGGCTGTCATTGTTTGACTCAGCCTGTTCCTAAGCCACAAGAGAGCAGTGACGTATAGAAAAAACCTGCTGCTTGCTCTTATCTGATACCAGGGATATCAAGGAGTTTTCTCCACTGCCTAGACAATAGAGGAAGTCCTCCTTTGTCCTTGCATTTCACTTTCTCTGTCAGCATGGCTTCCTTGATACAATTCTTGTGGCCTTACAGCCTCTGACACTAAACAGAAGACTATACAGCAGCTTAAGAGACCTGATATGCAAACACAAATTACCACATTGTCAAATGTCCACTGTTTAACTTCCCATTTACTCCAACAGCTTTAAAACTGATCTCGGATATAATTTGGATTAGCTCAGACAGAGCCATCTCACCTCCCATGATTTTGGTGGATATCTGTCCCTGCCCCTTCAAGCCCTGTGCTTCTGAAAACGCATGGAGAGTTACCCTGGGCATTAACAGAAGTTTTTAAGTGGTTCTGAAGTTGTCTGGAGCAGCAAAAACCTCCAGTGATCTCTTTCCATGAAACACTGCCAATCACCACAAGATGCCACAGCTAATAAGAGTCCTTTTACACATCCAAGTGGAAAATTCACAACCTATCAACCAAATAAAGATGTAAAAATGGCTGACAGTGCTACCGACCACCTACTGTATCTGGGCTCAAAGAAAGTTCCCAAAAGAATTCACAGTTGCAATAATGACAATAAGAAGTAAAAGCAAACATTATCACCAGCCTGTTTCTTTACTATGAACACCTCCAGTAGGAAATGAAAAAGTGGATTGAGGATAAATGAATGTTCATCCACGTTACCAGGCAACAACCTACAGGAAAGTTATGGTAAAGAGGAGCAGAGCCAAGTCCCCTCTTTGTGTAGAGGACCACCAGTATTAGAAATCATCTCTCTGTGTTCTCAGCAGCCTCAGGGAGGTGTTGGACAACAGATAAAAGAAAATATTTTGCAATGCTTCACAGGAAGGGGATGGAGGGAGAGAGGATAGAAACAAGTATTGGTCACCATGTGGTTTCTCAAACCAAAGATGCTGCTGATTTCCTTTAATGAACCCTAGCTGTAACTTAACAGACATTTCAAATAAAACTTACTGAGATCCTCTGTACTTCACAGTGCAGCTATGCTGCTTATCTAAAATTATTTTAAGAAGCATCCGGGGCGGGGGGGGCACGGAAATCATCACACCACCTTTTCTTCAAGAAATAAAATTTCAGATTATGTGGTAGGAGAAAGTATTTTTTTCTTGTTTCAGTTCTTATTTTTCAGGATTTCTGTCTACTGGGTGTTAGCAGCTACTCCTTTCACCAGGAGAGATTCTGTGTGTGCACGCACAAGAGTCTGAGTGCAGATATGTGTATTTACACATACAACTATAACATTTATTCCTTTAGGCTATTCATTTTCTGAGTGGTGAAAAATGATTTAAGCACATGAACAACATAGAGCAAATAATCATTTGTACACAGAAAAGAAACATGCTAGAGTATGTCAGATAGAGCTCTCACCAGCTTAAAGACTCATTTTTAAATGAACAATGAACAAGTGACCCAGCCTGACAGCCCAGATTCACCCACCAGGCAGATTTATACAGGTGCATTTTATATGATGTCAGAATATTACACAGGTTACCAGACATCCATCTGCAGTCCAAACTCTGTGTAGATCGTGTAAAGTATCCCTAAAGCCATTTGGAATCTTCAGAGGAAAACATTTGACAGACACATGACCATCTTTTTATTCATCTCAAGAGATGTGATTTTAACTGCAAGTTTAACATCACAAGTGCCCAAGTGATTTTAACTGCACTCTACCAATTCCACATAGGGGCGCTTTAATGGTATTGATAGTAATTAAATAATGATAATACATAAAAGGAATTTATATTTCCTCTCTTTGTGATGAAATATCAGTATCAGTGATTTTAAAATCAACTGATTCCAAGAGCTGGAAATCCAGTATGTCCCTAGTGCCTGCACAGACCTTTGTTTGTCATGCAGTCTTCTACATTCCCAAGGAAATTCTCAGTTGCTGGAGGATGTAACTGAATGTGTGCCACAAGCCCTGGATCACTGCCACAAGCAATAGTGCCCCTTGGGACTGACTCACCAGGATTCAGTCCCTGCTCTTCCAGTACTGCTCCCTCTTGGTAATGGGTGTGTTCAGGGATTAATCTCTCCCAGGACAATGTATCTCCCTGCAACATTCACTCCCAGTGGACATGTCCTCCAATGTTGTTAGTATATCTGCTACTGGTTCCAAGCAAATATAAAGCAAATTTCAGCTGATTTAAGTGCTAAGATGAGCTTTTACTCACAGCTCTAACAGAAGCCAAGCTGAGAACGAAAAAGCCACAGTTTATAGATGTCAGGAGGAAACAACTAACAAACATTCCTTGGAGCCATAAAATAGGATAAATATATTTAAATTTGAAAGAAGTCCTGACATTTTTTTTTCAGAATGGCACAGAAGAGCTGCAGATGGACTGAAGAGATTCATCACTGTATGACACAGGAAAAAAATGCAGAATCTTTATTTACCTAGGCCTGTGGTTTCTAAGTACCAACTTTTTAGTACGTTCATTTCTTGACTCAAAGTGAAAATGGGAATTCACCCTTTTCTCTTTTTTTCCTGCCCAATGTGCAGATGGGGCACATTTTCTTTCACTCCACCAATCCCTGCCCCCCCACGCACAAGCTCGCATACGTGCACCAGTGGAAAAGAAAAAAGGGTTACTCATTAATCCATTCTATAAGCTTTCCAAACTGAAATGGGTGGGTTCTCCATCTCCAGCAGGGAGCAATATATAGGTAGGTGCAGAGCTTACCTGAGCACAGCTCAAACTGGAGTGTTACACTTGAACAGCACAACTTTGCTCCTGGCACATTTTTAAATAGAACCCATCAGGATGAACAGGACAATTATTTTCTGCATGTTTTTCTTCTGCTCCACTATGGTGCTGACTGCAGATGCTGACTGCAGGAGATCCAGAACAGTAACATATAGACAGATTCACCAGAAAATTAAACAGTTAGAAACTATGGTGAAAGATAAGGTAAGTGATGGTATTAGTCAAAATATTAAAATTACTTTCAAGCATTATGTATTGCTTAGTACATATTTTGTGAGGGACATCACTTTCAAACGTTAAAATTTTTCTAACTTAGATTTTTTTTTTTTAGGATGCTGAATTGCTGCATACACCAGAAAACCCTGTGGTGAGACTACTTTAACATTCTTTTCATAATTATATCAATTTGATTTTGTACTGGTTTATTCCATTGACAAATGGAAGATGTCTTCTTTTTCACATCTCTGACCTAGTACTCTTAACACAAGCTAGACTGAATAAGAAAATATGTTTAAAAAGTTCATTTTTCTGGATATTTAATGGCAGAAGTGTTTATATTTTGGCATCACAATTACTATTTTGCCGTTGTATGTGTATCATAACCCACCAATAGATCCAGAGTTACACATATTCCATTTTATTAAGAAATAGTGCTAAGAGTAAGGATTCATACAAGAGCCAGATGAGCAGCAGTGCTTTTGGGGGTGCAGGTATTTGGAGTGAAAGTGCCTCCAGCTGTCATGAGCTGCAGCAGGCTGAGCTGCCCACCTTGCCTCCCACAGCAGCCAAATGGCCAGAGTGGCACTGCAAGGCCATGTCACTGAGTGCCTCCTCCCATGTGCAGTCACACTGCTCTCTCTGAAACTGTTTCTGCAGGGGTTGTGCTACCAACAGGAAGACAAAACTGCACCTGCAAATATTCTCTTCAGCTCATAACTAGTTAAAAATAACGAGAGCAGCACTCTGTGAATCCCTTTTTAATACAGATACTTATTATATGTTATTTAGTGCTGATATTTTGCGTCTTCAAAGGTTAAGATCTTCTTATATACAGTGAGTCACCAAGTTCATGCACTCTCAAAAGAGGTAGGGTGAAGGATGCACCGTGAATTTAAATGCTAATCACAGTAAAATCATGTCATAAAAACTTAGAGGGTAAATGCATCCTACTTTGATAATCCCTCAACATGGAACTGAGGTCTAGAGCAACCTGTGGTTACCTAATATTACACTTGTGTTATCAGCTGTCTTAAATTTTTGAGTCCTATTTTGTAGTACAAACAATTCTGATTGACGTATAAGAGTGATTACTATGCACTACTATGCTATAAAAGCTGTAGGCATTCTTAAAAAATTATCTCCTCGGGATTCTAAAGTCCCTTGCAAGGCGGCTACAAGAAGAAAGGAAAAAAACTCACCTCATTTCACACAGGTTTTGGTTAGTCTCCTCCTAGGCTTTATAGCTGGGCACATGTTTAACTTGCCAAAAAATATACAGAAGCATGAGCAAAACAGTTACATTCCTTTGAGTTTCGAGAATCAGCTGCAGTGCACAAACTCACTGCTGGGCTTTTTCCTGTGAAATTCTTTCTAACTTGTGGTGTCAAAGTGAAAAGAAGGAGATCATTAGCTGTCATTTTACTCCAGTGTTTCCTGCTGCCTCTGAAACTAAGCAAATACAACTAGTGACTAATTGCTTAATGAGGTTGTTGGGGTTTTTTTCTTAAAAAAAGTCATGCTCACCTCAGGAAGGAAAACAACAGTTCACTTGCAGCTTAGGGCTTTACTGTCTGATTCTGGGAGGTCCTAAGTGCCTCCTCTGCATACTAGAGAAGACAGAGAATTCACATATTTAGAATGTATTAAGTTGATACAAGTTCAGCTTCTGATGAAAAACATGTAAAAAAGCTATTAGTGTGCTAATAATAATAATAATCACCAGCAACCAAATCAACAAGCTTTTCATGCTACAGGGTGACTCAAACACGTATCACAGTGTGCCAAAGTGGCACTCAGGGTGATTAGGTGCCATCACAGACTACTGAAACTCAATTTAATAAGAAGTCGCTCATGTAACTGCATTTCAAACACCAAAATACTTGAAATTGTTTTTATTATAACCTGCTCATGCCAAATTTGCATTTGGTCTTGAATATTCAATGAGAAAATAACCTATTATACCATTTAGAGTTAGGTGGTTTATCCCTATCTGTTTTGGCTTCCTTGAGGTTCCTTTGTGTGGACTGTTAGCCCTAATTCAATCCCACACAATTTCCTTGTACCCACAACAATGAAGTATCCTTTCCTTTGAATGAGGGCAGGTTAGAGGACATCAATCCAAGGGAAAACAGGCTGAGACTGAAAAAGCAGTGTTAAGACCGAGGTGATCCCTGGAGGGCGGATGAGCTCTCTTGCTGGTGGCTGGCACTGGCAGCTGAAGTGTCACTGCGTGTCACGATGCTGATGTGCCCCGGATCTGTATCTCACGCCGCCGATCACTAATGCCGGAAGCGAGGGCTCTACGGGCTCATCTGTAAAACCACTTTGAGTCAGATGCAGAGTACTGCTGCCAACTGCCTCTGATACAAATATTTCACACGATTCTAGCCCCCCTCAGACACCTCCAGTGGTCTGTGCTCCTTCATCCCCAAAGTGCTCAGCCCGTGACAACACGCTGGGCCCCACAACCCTTGCAGTGCCCTGATAGTTGGCTGCCTCAGCTCTAAGTGACAGCTCAGCAAAACAGAAGAAGCAGCACAGATGAGAAATGCTGGTTTCTCAGCTCAGCACGGATGAGACCGACAATGTTTTCAGTTTCAGCTGGAAAATCGATCTCTTTAAAAGACGAGTAGTGTTTTTTTTTTTTCCAGTAAGCAAAGCCCGTTACGGTAAGGATGCTTGAAACAAGCATAAATGTGTGACTTTTAAGGAAAATAAAATGTTTTATCTGACCAACATAGAATGCTGCTAGCAAAATTTGCTACAAGCAACGTTGATGAAGGCTTGCCTTGTCCTTGCCCAAGCAGCAAACTGCAGTGACATCTCAGGAGGCAGACGAGACTCGTCTCGGGTAGCAGTTGGTACACAAAACAGGGATGATGGCTTTGGAGCCTTTCTGATATGTGTAATCAGCAGCTTCCATCTTTGGAAAACAGAAAACAACTTAAATTGGCTTCAGTAAACATTGCTTTTCTTTCTCTGTTGATGGTTAGGTTAGTTTCAGGGATAGTTTCTGTATCATTTCTGATGCTATCATATAAGAACATTTCAATAGCATTTGAAAATACACAGTCCTATGTCAATTCTAATTATTAACCAGGCATTATTAGAAAGAGGACAAAAATTAGGAAGAAAAAAAGTATATTCCCATACATAGCACTGAGAGATATTTGTAATTTTTTTAAAATAAAATGTTTGTGTTTTAGCAGGTGAAAACCTACTGATCTGATCCTCAGGATTATTTTCTTTCAAATGCTGTCATGATTAATACCAAGTGGAATTAATTTTGTTAGGAAAGACTTAAGCAATTATGCAAGAACAGACAAAGTAAAGCCTCAATATCACCTGCATATCTAAAACTAACTTAAGAAAAAAAAAAGATCCAGTTGAATATTCTCAGTTAATATCCTGGATACCTTCTTCTGCACATGGACCACAATCTAACACATTTTTTGCAGGGAAAAGTGCTGCAACACTGGCTTTAAAACAGTTCCTTCTTCTGCTCTAGGAGGCATGTCTGTACACAGCTGTGACCTGCTTCAAGAAGGGCATCCAGAAACTACAACCAGCGAGCAGCCAAGACAATGCAAAGTTCACCAAAGCCATTAGAATTGTGAGCAAATTGACCTGCAGAGGTGCTGGAGAGGTAGGATTTCCTCACATTGCTCTTAATTGCCATCATTCCTCCTTATGTTCTATAGCAGATGCCCCCTGCAATGGGGAACTGTAGAAGGTAAATCTGTTAGAAAAATCAATCTGCCTATCATTACTTCGGAAATTAAAAAGTCCAATTTTTGCAGTTTTGGAAGAAGCATTCCCTGTGACCCTAAAAAGTCACATGTCTACTTGGCAAGCACACAATGTGCTGGCAGAAGGACAGGGATCACTGCAAAAATGTGAATGAAAGGTGTCACTACTAAATTCCTTCACTTTAGAAAAAGCTTGTGTCAAAGCTTTTGCAGCTAGAAAAGGCATTGATTACAACCCTCTTGATTTTTCAGTGAGAAAGTTTGAGGTTTGATTTAGGATTGTGAGGTGCCCTTCAGAAGTAGCATGACTCTCTTTATCTTCCAGCAGTGTGAGCATACATGTGAATCTTTTGAGAAGAAAACCCCCAAAGAATTTTTGAAGAGCTTTGCAAATCTAATGCAGATGGTAAGCAGAGTTCATTCCTCCTGGGTGCTTTTTTGACATTTTGCAAACCATTACAGATATTCCTTATTTTACATCCTTACTAACAATGTGTTGTTTTTACAGCTATTCAAGAACTAATCTAGGACACACCAGAGCTGAAGGCTACTGAAAATCTAATTTTTAAAGGAGACACTATGTTATATTTAAGATGTGAAAAATGTAAATACTTTCCAGTGCTATTATGATGTATACTCTGTGTGTGGTAAGTGAAAGCTTCTCCCAAAATATTTAGAAGTCTTATTTGGATGAGTATTTGTGAGATGGATGCTATTCTGCAAGTGATTCTAATCTAGTGATTAGAATTAAATTCTAATTTCACAAAAATAGGCTCTTGTAAGGGCCTTGTAATTGTGCCCCTTCTGCTGAACTAGAAATACAAGACAGTTAGTTTTGTATTTTTGCTTTGATCTTAATCGAATCCCATGCAGAGATTTCTACAACTTTCTTAAGAAAATTAACCAAAAAATTATCAGAGGCTTTGAAGCCTCAAAGGAAATCTGCTTGTTTTCTTTATTTACAATAATACCACACACAGAGCTTTATTTATAAGTTCTTAGACTGCATCTTAGCTAACTATGTAAAAATATCCTGCATTTAACTGCCTTCTCAGGACTGGAAAAAACATTTACAAATCAGACTCTATGGCTGTGATTAACATCTTGAAGTTAATGGCACATTTGCCATGTGATTCAGTAGGGAGAGATGTAACCCACATGCTCTAAGTGAAGATACAGGATTCTGGGGCGAAATCTTGTTTTGGAAAAAGGAATTTCGTCTACACTGCCCCAGCTTAACATGATAGATATAGCAGAGATGTGACAGCCACTGCAAAATGTCCAATAAATACAGTAATTGATGATTATTCTGAGCAAAACAGCTCTAATGCATAGTGCTCCTTCTCAGAGGACAGCATTTACCCTCATATTCATGTACCATTTCTCAGGTACATTTAATGTACCTCTCTCCTCCTGAGTAATTTTAACAGTTTTTTTATTTGCCATTTTTTCTTTAAAAATCTGTTGAGTTTTTTGTTATGTGGAAACCTTCCTGTACAGCTCCTGAATCCTGAACATTTCTGTGGAACTATGGCCAGAGATACCACTGAAATTAAAATTAATTAATTAATATTAATTTTTGCAGCTTAATTATATACAACCATATTCTGCTTGCAAGGATTCTGAACCTCTGGGTTCTTCCATCTGAGCAGCAACTGCTAATCTACCCCAAACAGATATTGGAACCACATGAGGAAACTGATCTTGGAAAAGAGCATAAAGCTTTCCAGTAAAAATTAACCTTTCATCTGATTTTCTCTCTACTTAGTAGAAATGTGGTAGAGAGAGGAAACTGGAAAACTGTATCTAGTGTTTCGATGGAAAATGTCAGGCTTAGTTACCTCCAAAAATAATTGGTACCATTAAAAATATTTCCATTCATATTAATGTCGTCGGCCTAAAGGAAAACTAATACAAAAAGCTTTGCTGCCTCCACATTTTCACTGTCCTGACATGTGAACCTCCTCAAAAATGTACATCAGAAAGAGGAAGGAAGATCCCCAGGGCACAACAAACCTCTTCTCCTTTTCTTTTTCTGTTTCAAAACCCGCTTTTCCTCTGTGTAATGTCCTATCTCATACCTCAGTATTTCCACATTTCTGCGTCAGAATCCACATACTAAAAAAGAACTACCACTCATATGTAAGTAATCAAAGTACTGAGTTTAAATGACATTCTTTCTGCACCTTCTATCCCTGTTTCTCTTGTTTCACCTACCCATGAAGTCCCTCCATCGCCAATTGGTGAGCACTATGCAAAGCTGCTGCTGTAACTGCAACAGATTTTAAAGGCCAGGTAAAATTCCATTCCAGATTTGGATAAAAGCAACTGGGAAAACATTGAAGCATGTCCTGCAGTTGCAGCATACTGCTGATGTTTCTACATTTGCAGTTTTATGGAGGGGTTTTAATTGAACAGCTTTATCATTAATTAAGTGCCTTTTTATGTGAGTCCTAGAAGGACAACCAATGAACCAGTACTTCACATGCAACCCCATGGAATATTTGCATGTGCAGGGTTTTGGAGAAAGAGCTTTATTTTTGTACAAAGAATACAGTATGCACTTCTTTATCTGTAAATGTCTTTTCCAGTAAATTGCTAAGTGCATTGAAATCAGTGTTCTTTGAAAGAGCCTGTTAAAATCCCTGTTGCGCAGACAAAACGGGATTAGCATGCCCTGATAAACACAACGTAGTGTATTATATATATTTATTAGCAATCATGACAAAGCCTTGAGAAGGAACTTTTGTGCCTGGGATGGACATTTCATGAATGAAAAGCAATTCCCTACAGGAATGTCATAAGCTAACTAGGTACTCCTGCCTACACTGCAGCAATGCCTGGGTTTTGTCTGAGAGGCAGTAAGTAATGCACCTATTTCTGTTTAGTGACTTGCTTCACTGTTTTTAACTATGGATTTTATCACACCAAACATAGTGCTAAAGCTTATTTTTTCTTGTTTTAAACGCAATATACTTGTTTATTAGTTGAGGTTATTTCTTGTACCTGCAGAACAACTTAATTTAAAATGCTCACTTGTAGTATTCAAAAAAATAGTGAGAAACTGCAACAAATGTAACTTTAGAGGGTTAACTGCTCTGAGACCTTGCTGAAAATTGAAATAATTGGACAAACCAGTCCAGCTACTTATAGAGAATATTAATCACAAAATCAGCACAGCTGATTTTGGCCAACACCACACCTCTGGCCACTGTCAGCACAAGCACTGTGGGCAATTGTGCACTTCAAATATGCTTTGATTTACAAGATGTGTGGCCTTGTCTTCACTCTTCGATTTGTCAGAGTGATCAAAGACAGAGTGCATTATTCAGGGTGTGCTATTTGAAGAACAGGATTAATGAAGAATAGCAAATCTGTGCAGGACAAATCAGCATTCAAGAACACATCATCTTGTTCTGCAACAGCATTCGCAGAAGGAAAAATGAAGATGCCCAAGGAGGAATCTGTGACCTGAGGAAGGACCAGATAGCACAAATCTAAATGTGTTGTACACCCTCTCGACTTCTTTCTTTTCCTGAAATGAACTCTCTTTGTACTAAGTGCACTCTGCAGAAACAATGTGTGTTTCATTAACAGAGTACATCACGTAATCCATAAAAGCTCATTACCTCCCAGGGAGGCTTTACAATATATTTATGATTTTGATCATAAGTGCCCTTTGTAGGCACTTCGAGATGTGTTTTAGCATGGTATATACAATTTTGTATAATATTTACTTTTTCCTGAGAGGATTCTTTATTTTTATACCAATTGATTAACCTAATTTAATTATTTATTGCATTTCTGTAAAGGGAATGTTTGTACTAAGGACTATGTGGTCTGATTAATTTATATGCCTGTGATATTAAATAATTTTAGCTAATACCATTCTCTCTTGCTTGTTTCTTCAAAAACATATTTTTGTAGTTATCTGTGTGAGAACTATTCCCTGTGGGTTTTCCAGCCACCTGTATCACAGACCTGGTTTGGAGTGGGGTAAATTGTTCCTGAGTATTTATGCATCTCACCGAGTGAGATGAGTCAGAATTGACTAACAGTTTATTCTGGCTGAATCCCAGCACATGTGATTCCTGCTGTTTTCTTGTGTGCAAAGACAGGAGGGATCCCTCCATCCAGCGGGAAAACCCTCAGGGAATAGTTCTCATTACAAATAGGTGGCTACAAAACTTCCCTACAGTGTTCTCTGCTTTGCACTTGTGCTGACCTCCCATGTTGTAACAGGAGCAAAGGCGAAATAGAACGTTTCCTATTCAAACATCTTTGTCCAAGCTGCTCCTCTCCACTGCTGTACTGCCACCTTTTGATGGCAGTGTGGAAATTCAAAGCAGTTTGAGAGACAGAAGAAGCAAACTGAGTATCACTGTCATGACCCTGAGCTCTGAGATACCCCACAGACATAACAACTAAATTCTCCGCTTTCCATTTAAGTTCTCCTTTTCCCTCTTTACACAGCTGAAGGTCCAATCATGTTTGCTGTTGTAACATCATGAAGACCATGTTTAAAAGCATCCCTTACCACAGCAGTTAGGCTCTTCACCTGCTCATTTCCCTTTGCAAGAGGATGCTGTGTCTGTGTGTCCCTTCATGAAGTGTCCAACAACCTATCAGGAATTCTCCTGCTCTTTTTAGACTTTATAAACAATCCTCTTACTTTTACCTCTTTCAATTTTTTGAAGATGACCTTATTATTAAATTTCTCTACTGTTTCCTGTTCTCTCTCCATGCCCACCCCTGGTTCTCCATCTTCCTCCCATTCTAATTCCCCACACTTGTTCTCCCAACCCCAGTTCACTTTCTTCCTCCTGTTACACTTCCTCCAGCTTTCTTTCTGTTATCAGGGAATTTTCAGGCACTCAGAAGGTGCAAGATCGTCAGCTGCACAATTCCATTAAAATGGAAAAAGAGTTGAACATGCTAGTGGGTCCATATAAAGTTTAATTCCTTACCATCCACAGGGGAGCATCCTGACAACAAAGAAAGAAAGATTTTCATTTCAAAGTCAAAGAAGTGAGGGAAGCAGTCAGAAACCAGCTGTAGCAGGAGATTAAGCAGGTTTCATATCAAGCTTATCATAACAGATCAGACAAACACTATGACAGAGCAGCTCTCTCCATCCTCCCTTAAATCCTTAAGAAACGTAGAGACAATGAATGGCAGAAGGGTCAAGGCCAGTGCCAGTTGATATGAGGACAGGATCTGCAGGGGGTGAAAGAGAAAAGTGTTTGAGGTCAGCACTGCAAACACAGCGTTTCATCAAACTGAGAAGCAACTCCAAGTTTATCACTGCCTTTATGAAACACAGCAGTGTAGAGAGCAGATCACTGCACAAGAGGGCAGCAGGCAGCTGAGAAAGGAAAGGAGATCTTCCCTTTCCTTCTCTTCCTGACCCCGCCCAGCTCGTAAGAAATTAATCTACAAACCCTCAAATGTGGGGAAATACATTCCAAAAAGGGGACTTAGCAAAAAATGCTCCCATTTCTGTGTTCTCTTCCACAGGCACACTTCAAATGCCACCTACTTAATTTCTACTTCTGTTCTTTCCCTTTAATTAATAATAATAAGAGTAATAAATTTACTCTTTATTCATTTTACTCCTTCCTTCTACCCTCCATCTCTCCTTTAGGGAAATCACTTCAGTTATGCCTGACATTTACAAGTGTTGCATTAACACCAGACAGGACAAAGCATTGGCAAATCTTGCCACCTTCACTCAGAGGTACCATTTGGAGAAGCATCACCTAAAAACAAAGAACAAAAAAATTTACAGGATTGGTGCTATTCTTGGAAGATTTGCACTTCCCTTCAGCATGGAGAACTGGGCCCATTTCTAGATTTCTAACCCAGTACCTGCAGATGAACAACAGTTCCAAGCATTCCTTACGGACTTACTGCCTCTCCCCTTAGGTGTCCCACACATCCTGTAAGGCAGGTGCTACACTCTAGTGCTCCACTATTTTACTTTTATCAATTCTTTGCCTTTCCTGTTTTTCACCCTGCAAAGAGCTGAACAAATACCAGGTAACACGTGGAATGCAGCAGGTACAGCTGGAGGTAATGGGAAAGGTGTACTACAAATTCCAAAACACCTGACCTGGCATTAAGAATTTATTTATGGCATTGAAGAACAAAATACCAGGAACCCACTGCCTCAAGCTCCTTTTCCACCTGTTGCACTGGGCAGGGTTGGCTTAAACCATTCCCACTTCTTCCCCCTACCAGTTGCCAACAGTTGCATTTTTCAGGGGGAAAGGGTTAGGAGGCAAATCATACTTGCTCTGACTCAAGACTCTCTGCCTTTTAAAACATGACCTCACAAAGTATAACTGTCCTGCATCAGAAGACTTCCCTTAAAAAGATGTACAAGGCAAACTCAGAAGCAGACTGGACTGGGAATTTTTCAGTGCAAGTTCTTCCAGTGGAGGATAACAATCTGCTGAAATTGAAACTTAACAACTTTCACTGCAACAGTCTGACAAAAGTTTAAGCAAGAACCATTTCTCAGGTCCAGGATGGAATTTCTGTTACAAACAAAAGCGTGTAAACAAGAGCAGAGCAGAGTGCAGGGTTTTGGGAT